TTCTGTAACTTCCACTTCTTGCTTACAAAGGGTGAAGTTGCTATTCATAGTCAGTGAATGCACTATGTACAGGATCTAGTTGCTAAATCTTACAAAAAAAAAATCTGAAGTTCAGGCAAGACTGTGTGGTTATTGAGTCAAAATGTATGTGTTCACACCTGAGCAACACTCTGTGTTCCTATGCTTTTACTGCTGAGCAAGCGTGGTTAACGGAGCAATTACGCTTGTAGTGAAGGATAGCTTTCTTTTCAGGTAGTTATCTAAGAAAAGGATAATTAATTTGCTTGCAAAGAACAAATAGGACTAATGTGGAGTCAATGTTATTTTATTTCTCTGAGTTTTTCAGCTTGTGAAATTTCAGGTGATGTGATTCCTTTCCTCAGCTGCAGCACACAGTATAGAATTGGAGCAGTTGCATTATTTGGGTAGAAAGAGTGCACTGGATGTGCTGCTTTATGACAGCTGTGGAGGCACATCTGTGTTTTTGTGGTGTTTAAAACAGCCTGACAGATACATAACTGGTGGTCTGTATTTCCCTGCAGGAAACCAACAGGCCCCTCTCAGTCCCCATGTACAGGACTGAATCTTGAAAGGTTGGCACATTTCTGACAGGCCTCTGCATGTTCAGTGTTCATGATAGTTCTTGGTCAGGTTCCAATATCCACACTGTTGCCTTTATGCTTTTTATTTTTACTGTCAGGAAAAATGGTGCTATTTGAAGGTACCTTGAGAAATGTGAGTTGGCTGGATAAATCAAGTTTCTCTGCTTCTCTGCTGCTTTTCTTCGTTGAGTCTCCATTCAGTCTTCTTTCTGTGAAGGCAGCCAAAGAATTGGAATGTTTTTGGCAAAGATATAATTTCTGCTTAATGCAGAAAAAAATTGTACTAGTGGTTTTTGAATTTGGCACTGAGTTGCTACTTCACATTTTCATGTGCATATAATGTTTTGTGATTTTATTCTTGCTTTTATGGTAAAATCTGGGCTAGCAACTTTGTTCTGTGACAAAAGAAATTATGATTTGGGGATTTGGGAATTTCAGTATACTGAATATACTCTACAATTAATTTTGCAAACACAAGCACTGTAGACTCATGTTTCTTGAATAATTTCCATAGTTAGCTTTGGAGCTGTGTAGCCACAGTGACATTTTTACAAGTTTGGGGGAAGGATGGATTTTGTGGGGCTTGCAGCCAGGGCATTCAGAAAGACAGGTAAAATAGCTGTCTTTATCAGTGGTCCATTTTTGGTTTACTGAAGGATGATGTGCAAACCAATATTTGACATTTAGCCTAATGCCAAATCATCCAGTCATGTAGTAAACTGAAGAAAATTGGGTGTTCAAGACTAGTAGGGCTCAAAATGCTCTACACATGCTGCTGTTGCACTGTTTCCTCCCTGTTGGCATTTAGCCTGCCTGCCACATGGGTGGTCCTTGGTTGTGTCTCACTGGTGTTTGGTTGTTTGTTGGTCAGGGGCTCTACTGACCTACCCTGTAAAGCAGAAAGCAACCTAGTAATTTTTCTGTTACAGGAATTCTAGTTCTGGTGGGTTTGTTTTGTTGCAATCTTTAGAATAACAAAATAGGTAGGCAGGGATTGCATATCATCCAGTTCAGAATGGGACAATCTCCAAAGTTAGGTTGGGTTGATATATCCAGATGAGTTTTGCCCATATCCAGCTATAGAGATTCTGTAACCTTTCTAAGCAACTAGTTCCAGTGACCTTCCTGTCTGTGAAAAAATTTCTCTTATCCATAACTCTAAGTTTTCTGTGTTAGACCTTGTCTCTCGTTGGGATCTGTGTCTTCTCTTTATTTGCTCACAAGGCAGCTAAAACCCAATAAAATCCCTGTTTAGCCTTTTCTCCTTAAAACCAACTAATCAAACTCTTGCAAGCTCCTCATAACTCATGTCCTGCAGACCCCTAATCATCTTGAATCACCTGCTGGACTTAGTTCAGGATATCCATGATCAGGTCAAACTGGATGCAGCACTTCAGATGAGCCAAATGTGTGGGGGGGGGGTTAATGACTTCCCTTTGTCTGCTGACTAGGATCCTGTCAACAGAGTGTATACACAGGTAGCCCTTACCATTATGTTGTGCTGATTCTACTAAAATATTATTTTGGCTCCAGATAAGACAACAGCTAGTTTAAAGTGCACATATTTGTTCCTATCTGTAAAGGCTATGGAAATTACAGTCTGGTTGTAAAATGTTTAGAAATTGATATCTGGCTGTCTACAGCAATATATAATGATACATAATACTGAGTTTTAAGGCCAGTGAAGAGTTTACAACAAAACTGAAGGATGGCTAAATGATTTGGCTGTTCAAACCTGATCAAAGTACGTCATAGTTTCATTATCAGAATGAAAATAGAGTGTCACATGAGAAAAGCTGCAAAATAAAGGGAGGTAGTCTTTTGACAAGATTTTCTACAGGTGTTTTTGCATTTCAAAGAGGTAGTGGGCAGGGGGAAAGGAAAAGGCATGTATTGTCAAAGAGAAGACAAAACTAAGGAAAAAGAAAATAATTAGAGGACACAGGACAGCTACAAACTGGGGAAGAAGACAATAGAGCATGCTGAAGATTGTTTAGTAAATAAAATACCAATGAAGATTGTTAATGTGAAAATGAGAACGTATCAGAGGGCAGAAGAGATAGGGGGCTGTTGGTGAGCTAATATGGACATAAACATTTCCTGATGCTCAGAGAGAGAATTGACCCTTGAAGCAAGTTAAGGAGAAAAAATAGGAAAGTACCTGTCCTTTATCCAACTAAGTTTAATTTAGGAATAGGTGAAACCTATTATAAACCAGTTGGTTTTATGCATTTTTATGTCTCCTCTTGTACTTTTGTCAAAAGCATGACAAAGACAATAAGTGCTCTTTGGCCTACAGTATGCCATCATTAAAAGCACCAGATGGAAATTTTTGTAGTGATGATATGAAGAAACTGCTGCAGCAACAGAAGAAAATTATCCTGTTTCTCCATATCTTTTTATATTTATATAGGTTAATTGAAACCAACTGCATAAGTTGTATTTCCTTTTGGGTCAAGAATCAGCAGGGAAGAAAAGTCAGGGACAGCTGCTTCACTCTGCCCTCTGGGGAAATGTTTTTATCAAGTTTCCAGATAACGAAGTTACTTTTATTAACTAAAATCTTGAATTCTTTTTAGTGATGTGAGAGTTTATAAATTTGAAATAATACTCATGCTGCATTCATCAATTTCTAAGGTTAATCCACTTGTCTATATTTTATATTCTTTTGAAAAGAAAAATAATATTTTGCATGAACTATTTGTATTTAAAAGCAAATAAAAATAATAGAATACAATACAATAAAATAAGTATCTCTGTAATCAAAGTGTGTTTCATTTCACAGCTTTTAAGTATCTAACAGATGAGTATTATTCCATTTGTAAAAAATACTTGAATTGGCTATCTCTGTTATCCTTTGACTAGGGTTTTTATAACTGTCCAAAACTAGTTCTAACTTACTTTGAGTTGCCTTAGATTTGTAATATGCCATACAGTTTCCTAAGATAGGGTGGAAATGGGACTCTTTTTAGAGGAGTATGTCATTTAATGAGGACTTGACATCCACCTGGGCTAAGAAAACTGACTGTTTGTTCCCTGGGGAAATGCTTTGAGAAGGTAACTGGTTTTTATGTAGACTACCCTCCTAAGTTTTTTTAGTTTAGTGTGCCCCGAGGCAAAACGTTTCAGGATATCTTAGAAGATTCTGCCAATCTAATTAATCTTATGGGAAAAGTGCTAAAATTCATTCTCTGTTTCCCTTCTCATAAACTATATGGTACATCATCCCTGCACTGTCAGTGGCAACTGTTAACTGCACCTCCAATGGGGACAAAAACAGGCTTAGTGCTGTTCCAAGGAGTAGAGGGGTCTCGTGTTCCACCAGAGGTGGGGCAGGTGGGATAGCCCTCTGTGGAAAAACTCTTCCAGAATTGGAGGATATTTTGTGAAGAATGGATGAATTCAGTCCAGAGCAGTGAACGTCTGCACCCTGTCACAGCAGCTAAGGCCATGATTCAGTGATTGACTTCAAATTCTCTCAAGGCAAGACCAAGGAATGGGGGTTTGCAGTCATTGGGTCTCCATAGAGAGTGGTTTCAGCAGTCTTTCTGTTCCTGAGGAGGGAACTCAGTAACCAAAGTCCAGCTTAGAAGATGAACTTCTCAGTCCTGCCCAGGGAGAGAAAGCATTTGCATTAGTGTTGCTGTGGTGCTTTTTGGGGTTGGAGTTACCTTGGGGTGCTCCTTTGTAGAGTGTCTGTTATTCTGCAGACATTCAAGAGGTTGGGGATTTTGCCTCAGAGAGAGGAAATTCTGCTACAGCTGTAATAAAAGCCATTTGGAACTGCTCTAGTAAAGTACTGTATGCTTTCTATCTTGCAGATATATGATACTTTTATAAACCTCTTGTTTTTTATTTAATTCATCTGAAGTGCCTGTGCTGATGAATAATTAGACCCAGGATTGGTATGACATCCTTTTGAATAAGCTGTTATTTTGTTTAGATTTTTTTTCTCCTAAAATCCATTTATATTCCAAGGAACGGAAAGGCAAAGCATTTTAATGGTGTTTTTACAGAATATTTTCCTGAATGGATGAGGAAACAGTCATTCCAGTTAGCACTATATAAAAAAGTGAAGGCAATGGAGTAAGCTTAATTTTCCATTTTTGTCTGTCATAGATGTAAATAATTCAAACATATAAGCATGGAAGGAAGTTAACAGTTTGAAACTGGGACTGCATGAGTCTCCTAGCATAATATTAGTATTTCCTGTGTGTTTCAATTTGATATTCTTAAGAAAAAGGTTGGTTTTCCTGAAGTATGAACCATTTAATAGTTAATGCTGTTTTTCACTGGGCTCCTGTGGTAAACTAGAACGTTCATGTATTTCATGTGTATGCTTATGTAATTAAGCATCCACTAATTTCTTTCTCTTTGGAAAATACTTCTCCAAATCAGCGCTCCATGTGTGAAGATTTAAGATTATATCATGTGTTTGTTTAAGGTAAGCATTAGGACAGGTATTATTATTTTATAATAGATTCTTAATCCCTTGTCTGTGAAGTGTTGATGTTTTCATTAGAGTTAAAATATGTTGCATGTGTACAGAAAGCCTGAAATCTCAATATGTGGTTCTATCAATTTTAATTATTTGAATCATTAGAACAGCTAATTTTTTGCTTAAGGGTACACCAATGTACCATTGAATCTGTTTTTTAAGGTTTTTTCCAGTTTAATGTCTGAATCCAAATTCATAAAGAGTTGGAAAAATGAGATGTCTGAGCTATAGGATTCACAGGGATTTTATATGAAGCCTATTTAATCAGGATAACACTGTTATTAATATTCATAAAGTCAGCTGGAACACAAATGACAGACTATGGAGCCTAAAATTTTTTACTTGTGAATTTATTAAAAGCAGCTTAAAAAATTAATGGAATTTAAGTAAAGTTGACGAAAATGAAAATCTTATGTTAGCACAAAAAATCTATATTAGAACTTTGTCTAAGACCATCTTGCATTGATATCTTTGACAGATTTCATTGGTACTTAAAGAAGAAAGATGCATGAATGGTCATTTAAAAGGATTTAAACACATTGGCACATTAATTTTTACATGAATAATAAGTAGTTTCCAAAAGCAATTAACTTACAGTGTACAAGATTTGAATAGAAAAATAGGACTGTGACATCAAAGGGCAAAGCAAATGTGCAGTACATTTTAAACTTTTAATAATATGACTTCTTAAAATATTTTTTTCTTTTCCATGGTAGGTAAAGTAACACGAAATGTATTTGTGTACAGCTTGGGTTTGTTTTGAAATATACCAAGATCTGGAAAAATAAATATTTTTATGCCAAAGTGCTGTTGGTAAAGAACAATTTTAAGGCTTTTACATTGATCAAATGCTTCTGAATCAGCTTTCCTACACTTTCTCTGTGTGGAAAACAGATACATACTGACCGCAGTGTGTGATTTTTCGCCCTTGCTGCTATATGCAGCATTTGGAAGCATTTCGTTTTCCTGTAGACAGTTAGGTCTGAGAGCTGTGTCATTATTCTACTTAACTATCAATTTTATGTGACTGTTGCATTTTATATTCAACCGATAGGGACATTTTCTTTTTTATTTTCACTTTCTTTCATGGTGTCCTAGTAGTTTTACACTAGCACAAGGTGGGTAAATGAATAGTGAATAAGGAAGTTAGATTTCAAATTACCTCTAGCATTTGGATTATGGCCCCATTTTGTGTTTTCAGTTTTGTCTCGGTCTGCCAATGCACTTTATTTTAATCTCCAGCTTTTAATTTCCTCTCATTATTACACAGATTGATTATTAGCAGATTGTCTTCAAATGGAATAAGGATTTATAGTAATTATATTCAATTTTTCTGATGATTCCTTGTGTGAAAACCTTAATGGCACTTCTGATCATTTTTGAAATGCTGACTTTTTAACACTCACTGAAAAATGATGGTTCAATAAGTTTTGGTTCTAAAAATAACTGATGTTCAAGGTACTTTCTGTAAAGGTACATCTTGAAGGACAAGTAAGTGTTGTGCACAAGTCAGCTACCTATTGCAGCGTTTGTGTTCAGAGCAATCACTTTAAATACTTAGTGTCTGGAATATTTTCTTGTTCTGTATCCTAACTTTTTTTTTTTAATTGTGAGGAAGTTAATTGGCACATCGTAGGAATCCCTAAAAATCTTTCCGTTTTACTTTGATCTATAGGTGACCTTAATCTGATATCAACCACTTCTATTTTCTCTATGTTTAAACCAGAAAATTCCTATTAGTTAACAGAACCTATTTCACTATGAAGACAGTGGCTGTAAAATGAGCCTCTTGACTTCAGTCATAAATTTTTCCTGTGCCATTGTCTATTATTTCCGGGAGAGGGCAGCATTTTCCTATATCAGGTACAGAAAGGCACATGCCCTGCTTAGACTGTCAATGTTTCTTGTAATTACTCCCAGTATATTTGTTGCTTGCTTATGAATTAACTTGCATTTATGGAACTAAATCATTCCAATCATTTAATTACACCTGAGGAGCTGAACTATAATTGCTTGCTTCCAGCTAGGATCTGATATGGCTTGAGCAGTATTAATTTGGTGTTTACTTTTCTGAGTGCTAAAAGCATTAAAATGATTGTGCAATGGGATTACATTTTACTAATTGCTGGCATTCATTAGCTGGGTAAATGGCGAGGAAGAATGACTGTATATTGTGGAGGGATAAAATTATGGTTTTAAATAGTATATTACTAGACACATTAAGGCCCTAAGACATGTTTTAAAATACTCCAGAGGTTATTAAATACCATATTTTCTTCATGTCTTGCTATATGAATATCTTATTAAAATACTGCAATTATTATGAACCTTTTTGTGCAATATGTAGGGAAATGGCTTCATTGACAGAAACCTATTTCTTGATATTAATAACCCTCTATATTTTCAGCTAATCCAAAAGTAAATGAGGAACTTAGGAAAAGATTGCCAACTTCAAATCAACACAGTTACACAGAATTGAAGAAGAAGCGTACAGCTTCATTTGAGGGATTCTTTTAAGGGACTCAGTGTTCTGGGATATGAGGTGAACTTTTTATTTTTTGATAAGACCTAAGCACATCAAATCCTATGCATTTTTTTATCATGCAGATTTATAGTCAACAACAAATGTGAGCTAAATATGTATTTCTTGAATATTTGGTGTTCGTGTTGGTGTTGAATCTAAAGTGTTTGTACAATTAAATTTTTTTTGAAATTTTAAATATAAAAATGAAATAATCTGCTTTTTTGGTGTTCTATGGCAAAATAATTTCTCCTGCTGCTTTATTATTTAGGATATGTGTCTTGGTATAATTTTCTTGAATTGTAAAATAGGTACTTAATTTTTTTTATTTAATCTCTCACACTTTTCAGCACAATGACAACAGTCTGAGTGTTTTCAAATCTTCATAATCTAGTCACTGTATCTTCAAGGCACGTGTATCTTTTTAATAAATGTAAAAAAATGCAGCAGGGAAAACTTACAAAATAAGCACAATGCATAGTTAAGGATAAAAATTTTCCTATTACAATATTTTTTTTAAAAGGTGCATGAGTAAGTAATACAATTTGTGATAAGCTTACTATGTTACCAAGATTACAAACTTATTTAGATTTCCTTGCAATACTGAGTACAACTAAATTTTTAACACATAAGAGAGCATATATTTTAACACTCAAAATGATGCATGGTAGACATAGCATTTTATTGTAAGTCTTTTTGGAGGTTTCTTCTTGAAGATCTTTGATTATATGAAATATTGCAACTATGTAATTAACTATAGTCTGAAGCATTATGCATGCATATATCGGGATGCATTATTTAGCTGTTCAGAAAGAACTTCAGAGTTGGAGCGGTCATAGACCACTTTACCTGTATTTTATCTAGGAAATTAAAAGTAGAGAAAGAATGCTGTGAAGTGAAGCACATGCCACTGTCTGTAATAACTGCCAAAGGGAGCAGTCTTGTTGTCTGCAGCAGGACTGCTTGGTGTGATTTGGGCTGTGCTCAGTAATGTGTACTTCCAAGACCAGACTCTAGAAGAAAAAACCAAACTAATAAATATTTCAACAAAGACATCACATGCAACAGAAAGCTGAACCAAACAATTATAAAAATTAGATGAGTGAAGAAAAAATATTTTACTGAGAAATATAATTTTTCCCTGGCTGTTAAAGTATGCAGACTTCATTGTGCTGCTATAAATTTTTAAAATAATTTGTTTTGTAAATTTTCTGTCAAATGAAGGCAAAGTATAGGTGCATTATATTGTTTCAAGTTTATTTATCTAGAGTTTGTTTTATTTTAGCTCTGAAACCTTCAAGCAAAAGCTCGACTCAGTGCCAGATCAAACAAGTTCAGAGGAACAAATGGAGAACTGGTCAAAAGGTAGGGACTTTAAAGATATTAATAAGGAACCTTAGGTGTTATACCAGTGCTAGGCAGTGACTGGAGTGTGTTTGTTCTTGCTGATATATGACTGACTTTGGAAGAAAAGGAAAAAAACCAATAACCACATACTGCTCCTTAAAAGAACTTTGAGTAACTGGAGAGCAGCTACATGAATACAAAGCTTCACCTTAATTTTCTGGATTATTGAAAATGTTTTTGTACAACTTTCAGAAAACTTGTTTAAATTCTTAGTCTGTACATTGCACTTTACTTTCCAACTTTTTTTTTTTTTGTTAGTAATAAATCTGAAAATCTGTCTTAAAGAAATTTTCTTGGCTATTCACACCTGGCTTGGGTATGATTAAGCCATCTACTAATATTAATGAGTGTCTCAACTCATAAGTGTCTCAACTGAATTTAGACAGTAAGGTAAGGCTTGGAGATAAAGGTGACCTTGGTTAACTTGGAGCTTCCCCAGTTGGTGGAGTTTTCATCTTCATCAGGATGCAAGTATCTTTTTTTATTTTTAGTTGATTGACCAGACATAATTGTTCTCAGATACATTCTTCTATGTTTCGTGACAGAAACCTAAGGGGAAAAAAATCCCACTGAATTTGAGAGTACATTCATAACTGACTGACTGACTGACTTTGTAGAAGAGAATTTTTAGAAGTAGCTTGTGACTAAATTGTGACTGGTAGAAGGAAGGGAAAGACATAAAAAAGAGATCCTCACTTGAGAATGGATTTTTGCTAGCAAGTGACTCTGTGTAGGTTAAAAATTCCAAAATGGATTAGGTGTGTCAACATCAAAATTTCCCTCTATATTAGAGCCTCATAGCTTCTTGTACATTTCCTTTTTTTGAGTTTTATACTATATATTCTCTCTCAAAAGATAAAAAATGTCAAATTTCTCATGGAGAGTCTATTTAGAAGAAAGAAGAAATGCTTCATTTTGTAGGTGATACTTTTCTTTCATATGTAAAGGAATTTCTACATATATTATTCTGTAAAATAAACTACTTATAAACCCCTTTTAATTTATGGCATTTTGAGGTGTTACTGAGTGAAGTTCAAAAGTTTTTTGAATCATATTCTCTGTAAACAAAAACATTAATGGTGGTGTAAGTTAGTGGAGAATTGTATTCTGACAATTTAAACGTGTAATGGCTTAATCAGGTTTAGTATTTTTAGACCTTTAGGGGTCAGCATACCCTAAGAATGGTTCAAAAGGTTAAGTTTTCCAAAGTAGGCAAATTCTGTCTAATTGCAAGAAATTATGTTCTGCTACTGCTCAGAGATATTTTTGAAACTGAGTAGCTACTGACTTTCATGTGTATTATTTTTCTGATGCATTAAGTCAATATTTTGTGCTGTTTAGACAGCTGCTTCTTCCAGGCTAACACTTCATGTGTCCAACAGAAGTTGTTATATAAATAAAAGTAAAATTTATACACTTTTATTTAGCATAATCATTAATAAGTCATGTAATTCTTTGTGCTTTTGCTCCTGGCAAAGTTAGAAAAAGGGGTTATGGGTAAATTTGTCATCATACTGGTGTGGATGAGAAAGTTTTTTTTCTTAGAATTTAATTTGAGTATTAACAGCTAAATTACATTCACTTATCATAAAGATAATAGGTCAATTTCAGCAACATAATATGTAAGCTTGGTAGATATTCTAGTGCATTTTCTCATTGTATTACTTAAGCACAGCAATTTCTCCTTTTCTGTGTGAATGTGTGTGCTGATGAGTGTACTATTTTGTCTCCTGCTTGCTCTGTCATCTTGACATATTTCCTTGTGCAGTTGGTACTGTACTGTATTTAGATTTTCCTTTCTTGTAACTTGGAAGTTTAAAAGCTGGGTTTACAGTAACCCTATAATGTTTAATAATTTAAACATTTTATTAGCATACTGAAATATTGGAGATTACATTATTTGTCAACAAATAAGGATGGTAAAGCAAATACAACATTAAATTTATCTGACTAGACGAAAATTCAGTCAAGCAACGAGAATTTTAAGAAATAGAAAAAAACAGATGCAAAGTGGTAGGTTTATGGTGGTTATGTGGGATAATGTGTAACCTGTTAATCAATGTTATAAAATAAAATACTTGAAAGGAAGGTAGTGTTTAAGAGGAGTGTATCTGAACTGTTTGAAAGGTGAGATTTTCTTTTTAACTTTCCGAGTTGTTTAGAGTATAGTATTTCTGTGTGGATTGAAGACTTTGTCACTGTTCTGTTCTATTAGGAAGAATTAAAGAACAGTTTGTGTGCAAGGTTCATTACTTTATGTTTGTATCTAGTTTAAATGTACTCTTTCTCTAGTTTTTAATAGAAGGTTAATGCCTTTTTTCATTTCCCTCTAATGATACTTGAGAGAACGTACCAGGAGCATTGGCAGCAGACCAGTGCGGACTGTGCTACTTAGAAATGAAAAATATTCAGAATCCAAGCTAGACAGCCTAGAATAGTATTCAATTATGAAAATAAACTTGTATTGGCAAATAGGTGCCTATCTTTGCATTGCAGTGATGGTGGGTGTGGGGAAGCACATTGCATTGGGGCAAGACTTGTTACTTCAGTAGGGTTTCCATGCATGATGGGAACTATGCAAACATTAATCCTGTGAAAACACAAGAGGGAACCTGAAACTGGGTGGTTTCACTTCTTACATATATGTTTAGGACTTGATATGGCAGTTTTTCAGAAGCATTACCAGGATTGGAAAGTGGTGAGTGTGCAAATGCTGGAGTTAAATTTGTGTCTTATTTGACTCATGTACCACGTTTAATTAGGTGCAGCTATACTTCTGTATTATAGAGTCTTTAACTATTGTGATGTTTTGGCTTATGTCATATTTATGAGCATCCAGGCTTTAAGGATAGGGCAGAAATTAGGAGAAGGCTTAGACTTTTAAGTGTTGTTTGTTCTGTTTTGAGAACAAAATTAGAGTTTTGCTGACTCCAGAATTAAAATCATGGTATAATTAAGACAAATTAACAGATTGATTTTTTTAATGATGAAGTTGTTTGCTTTCTTAAAAAGTGGTTATTATGTTTTTCAAGCACAGAAATAAATATGTATATATTGCTAAGCCATTACTTGAAGCATATATTGTATGTCAGTGAACCAATTTCACTTCTCTGAATTTGATGGCAACTTTAGTTATGATCCATATAGGCACTTTCCAGGTATCTTTAAAAGAATGCTTGCAGCTTGTAATTGTACTTCAAAATTGCATGTCTGGAAACTAGTTCAGAGGAGACTAGCTTTAAAGAGCTGTGGTAATGTAGATTGGAACAGAACTGCAGAATCAGCTTGTGCAGGGAAATTTGTGATGGAGGTGTTCTATCTGGTGGTGAGCTGTAGGTTTTTGGGGTGTTTTACATTCATGGTAATTGAGGAAATGTAGTCACGTGCAAAGGTTAAGTAAAATAAATCATCTTTTTGTGTAACTTTCACTGTCTTATTACAAGTAGAAAACTCTTCTAGTTGTGTAATGGTTTTAATGTGCTTTTTTGTAGATTTGTTTTTGCAGTATTAATGACAAGGACTTTTTTTGTCTGGAATTCCTATTGTGTGAGTTTGACACACACAAAGATGAATGGGTAAAGAAAGCCTCCAGAGTAATATGGTGCTGTAAATGCTCTAGTTGGTAAAAAAGCAGCTAATGGTAAAGGTGCTGCTGCCCATTTCTCCTGAATGTACCCACTGCAGCTGTAAACACTCTAAAGTAAATCTAAAGCCCCTCTTTCAAGGCTATAACAGAAGCAAAATTAAGCATACTTGCCATAGTGAAGTCTCTTTCTTCTTTTACATGCCTCAACAGGAGATACTGTGAGCCTGTTCTCCCTCTCCTACCAATTTTAGCAACAAAGTGATGTTTTCTTGGAAAAGAAAGAAGGCCTGAATATTGCAAGGGTGGTTTGTATGCAGAAAAATCTACACAATATGCAGAGAGACAGCGTCCTCTACACCCACGTGGCTCAGCTGATCAGTGTGCTGTGTGCTGTGCTTTCAGCATCAAACTCACTGTGTGCTGTCAGATCCCCTTGCAAAGTGCCAAGAGTAGCTGCAAGGTTCTCTCAATGATGTAGAAGGCTGAAAAGAGGCTGAGAGGATGAACTTTCATGAGTAAAACCTAGTCACTGTTGAACAACATTAAGCATGGAAGATGAAGAAAACCTCTGCCATGGAAGAAGAAGGAATAGTGTGACATAACTTAGAAGATAAGAATGACTTAATGATAACTGAAAAATCATCCAAGACTGCTTGGTCTTTCCTGTAAATATAATCATGCCTTCATGCATATAAATTCTCATCTATTCTTTTTCCATTCCATTTCTTTCCTTGTACATTTTGAGTGGCAGAATACAGCACATTTCTAGCCAGACTGCGTGCAGAAAGACTCCTCATCAGAAGCACAACTAGATATCCAGTACTTGCCTGACTCACTACAGTGTTGTGAATATGATTTTGTTGAACCCTTTATGGTACACTCAAAACGTGTAGGGCCTTATCTGCTCTGAGGGCTGCAAGCACTAAGGATGGGGAGAATGCACACCTTGAAGTATTGCACTTTGAATCTTAAGTGTGTAAAGTATGAGTGCAGCTAACTTCAGAATGTCTTGAAATGTACTTCAGAGAGAACAGCACTTACCACCACAGTAATTTTTAAGTAGTGCTTCAGAAGGAACTTTAGAAGACCTTGCACAAGTGCAAGAGGTATTTGGTTATTTTCTTCTTTAGAAACCTTCACTACTTCTATTTTTATAACAGGTAGAATGAGGCTTAAGTTCAGAGCAAAAATATTTTTAAATTATTATGAAAAGGTTCTTCAGGGAGTGCGTTGCCGACTCTTATTTGTGAGTTCACCTGCATCTTTAGTAGAACACTACTGGAGTAAAGGGTGCGGGGGCAAGGTGTCTTACAGCTACTTTATGCAGAGTGATCTTTCTTTCATGTCAGACACTTAAAATCGCGATATTTTT